CTCTAGGGACATACTCCAAAAGCTTTCTTCCTTGTTCTCAACTCAGACTAATGAGTCACTTTGCAAACAAGGCCATCCGATTTCAAAGGTAGGTTCAATTTCCAGGAAGCAGCTCTTGGCACAATAAACTGTTTTCTAAATCCTACGGCACAAACTTCCTTGTCAGAAAGGGGAGTATAGTCCAGAAGCCAAGACACAAAGTTGCACATCTTCTTACCACAGTCCAAAGTTTTGCAGTGGAATCTGCTTTGCAAGAAAGACTGTTATCACAGGAAATTTTGGGTGTGACCATCCTGTGCCAAATTCATGAACACGTGGAAGACTCAAGGTAAGCACAGTAGATAGATAAATGGGGCCAGTTAAAAGAACGTGCATTCTTCAGCAGAATGAGCCTGTCAAGCCCCAAATACAGCAAGGTCGACTTACCACACTTTGAGAAACCCACTATCATTGAAACTGAGCACTCTTCCCCAAAGAAAACCTCATTAAGTTGAAATCCTAAAACTGTCAAACTTCACTATTTAACATAGGAGCCTCTGGGACTACCATTCTAATCTATTGTTGTCCCAAGAAATATTAATTGATCAAGGCTGTGGTTCCAATCCTGGCTCTTGCAGATAAGAAGAGATCAGAGCAATAGTACCATATATACTCGAGTATAAGCCAACCCAAAAAGAAGCGGAGGCATCTAATTTTACCACAAAAACTGGGAAAATGTATTGACTCAAGTATAAGCCGAGGGTAGAAAATGCAGCAGCTACTGGTAAATTTCAAAATTAAACATAGATACCAATAAAATTACATTAACCGAGGCATCCATAGATTAAATGTTTTTGAATATTTACATACAACTGTAATTTAAGATAAGACTGTCCAACTCTGATTACACTATTATTCTAACCTTCTTCAATGTAAACATGCTTACGTATCCTTCCAATAATAATAATAATAGAGTAAAATATTAAATGTAATAATAATAATAATATAGAGTAAAATAATGGAAATGTAATAATAAAAGTAATAATAGAGTAAAATGATAAATGTAATAACAATGATAATAGAGTAAAATAATAAATGTTATAATAAAATAGAGTAAAATAATAAATATAATAATAGAGTAAAATAATGTAAATATTATAATACTAAATGGAATAAAATAATAAATGTAATAATAATAATAATAATAATAATAATAACAACAGAGTAAAATAATAAATAACCTTGACTCAAGTATAAGCCGAAGGGGGCTTTTTCAGCCTAAAAAGGGGCTGAAAAGCTCGCCTTAATCTCAAGTATATATGGTACGTTTCTGCTAGTCATTTTTCAAACCGAGCGGAAACATCATCAGGCATCCCATCCTCCATCATCCTCAATTTGTCTGTCCTCTTGAATATTGTAACTTGCTCCCAAAAGCTAAGTCAGCAACCTTTGCATGATCAACATATAGGTTGTAGGAAATACAACATTGAGTACCAGTGTAATGTAGTTGATTGTAAAGTAGTTGACTGTGACTCTTGAGATCAAGTTTCAAATCCCTGCTTGACCAAAGAAATCACTGGGTGACCTTGGGTGAGTCACATTCTCTCAGCCTCAAAGGAAGCCAATGTCAAGCTCACTCTGAACAAATATTTCCAAGAAGAAACCCATGCGAGTCAGGCTTTAGCAGAGCAGGTTAACCACTAGCTGCAATGAATCTTGTCAATCGAAAGATTGGCAGTTCGAGGCCCAGGTCAGGGGTGAGCCCACCTGACCTTCAACCCAGCTCACTGCCCTCCTAGCAGATCGAAAACAGCTGTGAGTAGATAAATAGGTACTGCTTAAGCAGGGAGGTATTTTAATGGCACCATAAGGAAATACCGGAAAAATGCTGGTGATTTGATCGAAAGGAAGAACTCTGTGAACAAGGCTCTTCAGCATGGAGGATGGAGCAACCACACACATACACATGGCTGGAATCGAGCACAAACCCTAAAACACCAAAGATGGAAAAAGCCTATCTACATCTATCTGTGTACTGTGTCTGTCCTGTCAGTGTATAACGACATTGAATGTTGGCCAGATATGTGTTCTGTGATCCGCCCTGAGTCCCCTTTGGGGTGAGATAGGTGGAAAAGAAATACTGTAAATAAATAAATAAAATGAGAGACCTCTGGCAGCCTCCTTAAAGTTGACATAAGTCAGAAACAACATGAAGGCACATAGCAACATTTCCATGTTCGGACTATTAAGAGGACAGGATAAGGATAGAAAGGATAAGGATGTGGGTGCAATGGGGAGTAGGAAATGGTTGAAGATTGGATTAAAAAGATGATAGAATTCAGAGATTTAGACAAGCTCTCGCAAATATTAGAAGAACGGAACAGAGAGAAACAAACCAACTGGATCTACATTGCCATATAAAATCCAGATTATCTGCTTTGAACTGGATTATATGGCAGCATTGACTCATATACTCCAGTTCAAAGCTTTTATAATCAGATAATATAATATACCCTTCACTCATAAAGGCAAGATTATTCAATCTGGAGGCCAATGGAATGGGGATGGAATCCTTTTTGCCTCTGGCAGACAGTCTAAACCAACTTGAACTAGGTAAAGGTAAAAGTTTCCCCTTGACATTAAGTTTAGTTGTGTCCAACTCTCGGGGCTTGGTGCTCATCTCTATTTCTAAGACGAAGAACTGGCGTTGTCCGTAGACGCCTCCAAGAACATGTGGCTGGTATGACTGCATGGGGCACCATTACCTTCCCACAGAAGCAGTACCTATTGATCTACTCACATTTGCATGTTTTCAAACTGCTAGTTTGGCAGAAGCTGGGCCTAACAGCAGGGCTCACCTATTTCCCTGAATGCGAACTGCCAACCTTTTGGTCAGCAAATTCAGCAGCTCAGCAGTTTAATCCACTGTTTCACCAGGGAACAATTACCTTCCAAAGCACAAATTCAAAATTCAGAATTCAAAATGATCTTAACGGATGAGAGAGATGGGCCAAAACTAACAAAGTGAAGTACAACAGAAACAAATGAGACAAATGCAAGATACTCCACTTAGGCAGAAAAAAAATGAAATGCAGAGATACAGAATGGGGGATGATGGCTGTCTCGACAGCAGGACATGTGAAAAAGATCGTGGATCACCAGTTAAACATGAGTCAACAATGTCATGTGGCGACAAAAAAAGCCAATGGGATTTTGGACTGCATAAATAAGGAGTATAGTGTCTAGATCCAGGGAAGTCATGCTGCCCCTCTATTCTGCCTTGGTTAGACCACACCTGGAATACTGTGTCCAATTCTGGGCACCACAATTGAAAGGAGATGTTGACAAGCTGGAATGTGTCCAGAGGAGGGCGACTAAAATGATCAAGGGTCTGGAGAACAAGCCCTATGAGGAGCGGCTTAAGAAGATGGGCATATTTAGCCGAGACATGATGGCCATGTATAAAGATGTGAGGGGAAGTCATAGGGAGGAGGGAGCAAGCTTGTTTTCTGCTGCCCTGGAGACTAGGACGTGGAACAATGGCTTCAAACTACAGGAAAGGAGATTCCACCTGAACATTAGGAAGAACTTCCTAACTCTGAGAGCCTGACTTTGAGAGCTGTTCAGCAGTGGAACTCTCTGCCCCAGAGTGTGGTGGAGGCTCCTTCTTTGGAAGGCTTTTAAACAGAGGCTGGATGGCCATCTGTCGGGGGTGCTTTGAATGCAATTTTCCTGCTTCTTGGCAGAATGGGGTTGGACTGAATGGCCCACGAGGTGTCTTCCAACTCTATGATTCTATGGAAATTGGAATCAAATCAGAATACATGCCATCTCTGAGTTACAAGCTTCTGATTGACCGACTCTTAGTTAAGAATGGGAGTAAGACAACAAGAAGTGAGAGAAATATTCCTGCTTCTTGGCAGGGGGTTGGACTGGATGGCCCATGAGGTCTCTTCCAACTCTATGATTCTATGAAACCTAGCAGTTTGAAAACATGCAATGGCGTTCGATGCAGTCGTGCTGGCTACATGACCTTGGAGGTGTCTACAGACAATGCCGGCTCTTCAGCTTAGAAATGGAGATGAGCACCAATAGAATCATAGAATCAAAGTGTTGGAAGAGACCTCATGGGCCATCCAGTCCAATCCCCTGCCAAGAAGCAGGAATATTACATTCAAAGCACCCCTGACAGATGGCCATCCAGCCTCTGTTTAAAAGCTTCCAAAGAAGGAGCCTCCACCACACTCCGGGGCAGAAAGTTCCACTGCTGAACAGCTCTCACAGTCAGGAAGTTCTTCCTCATGTTCAGATGGAATCTCCTTTCTTGTAGTTTGAAGCCATTGTTCCATTGCGTCCTAGTCTCCAGGGAAGCAGAAAACAAGCTTGCTCCCTCCTCCCTATGACTTCCTCTCACATATTTATACATGGCTATCATGTCTCCTCTCAGCCTTCTCTTCTTCAGGCTAAACATGCCCAGCTCTTTAAGCTGCTCCTCATAGGGCTTGTTCTCCAGACCCTTGATCATTTTAGTCGCCCTCCTCTGAACACATTCCAGCTTGTCAGAGGAGGGCAACTAAAATGATCGAGGGTTGGACACGACTGGACTTAATGTCAGGGGAAAACCTTTACCTTATCTCTAAATTGGGCATATTGAGCATTTGTGCCAAGTTTGGTCCAGATCCATCATTGTTTGAGTCCACAGTGCTCTCTGGATACAGGTGAACTACAACTCCCAAATTCAAGGTCAATGCCCACCAAACCCTTCCAGTATTTTCTGTTGGACATGGCAGTTTTGTGTTGGTGGAGTTCAGAATACTCTTTTAATGTAGGTTCCCGCAACTACAACTCCCAAAGGACAAAATTAATCCCCCCCAACCCCCTAGTATTCAAATTTGGGTATTTTTTGTGATGAGGTCCTCTAGATAGAAGTGAAAGATAGAGGTTGAAGAAAGAGCTAATCTCTTTGATGAAGGATTCCAAGAGGTTTGTTCCTCCGAAGTTTGGAGGCTGGCAGTGCTTACCTGGCTTGGCCCCAATCTAGGGGGGTCCTATGGGGCTATGGCTGGCCGAGGCGCTCTCCTTCCAGCCCTGGGGGGCTCTCCATGGCCCTCTGCAAAAGGCAGAAGGAAGGGGCCGGAAGAAGGGGGAAAGCCAGGGAACCGGACCTGCAAGCGGTGGCTGCTTCACCTGGGAAGGAGGAGGGGAGAGGAGAGGAGAGGAGGGAGGGCACAGAGAAAGAGGGGCGGAAGGGGGCTGGGAGCCAAGGGCAGGCCTTGCAGACGATCCCTTTGGAAGGCTTCAGCAAACCAGAATCCCCAGCCAGGAGGGCCCCATCCATCTGAGTTTCTGGGAATTATCAGAGCAGTTGGTACCAGAAGCAGAAATTACCTGGAAAGGAGAAGAATTGCTTCCCATACTATGAAAAAACTATGGCCTATTTCATCAGTTATTATTAGTGGGTTGCTCTGAGTTTTTTAGACTCTATGGCCAGGTTCCAGTAGCACTCTCTCCTGACGTTTCACCTCCATCTGTGGCAAGCATCCTCAGAGGCAGAGGCGGCCCTAGGTAATTTTCAATGGTAAGCAAACAGTATTTTGCCCCCCCCCCCAAACCAATCTTTGATATATATTTTCTGTTTGTCGTGGGAGTTCTGTGTGCCATATTTGGTTCAATTCCATCATTGGTGGAGTTCAGAATGCTCTTTGATTGTAGGTGAACTATACATCCCAGTAACTACACTTGCCGCACTTGCTCCCTTGCCTGGCCCGCTTTGTGTCCGGAGGCGTGCCTGAAGACCCCGGCGTGTGCACCAAAAGTCACCTCTTCTCCTGACTTTCTCCTCAGCCATTGGGACCGAGAGAGAGAGAGAGAGACAGAGACAGAGGTGGAGATGCCCACCTTTCCTGAAGGTAGGCGCAAAAACAAAGGAGGGAGTGGAGGTGGGAGATACCTCCAGCCGGAGGGGCTCTCTCTCTCTCTCTCTTGGTCCCAATGGCTGAAGAGAAAGTCAGGAGAAGAGGCGACTTTTGGTGCGCACGCTGGGGTCTTCAGACACGCCTCTGGACCCGAAGCGGGCCAGGCGCGGCGGCTCTGCCCCTTGGCCCACCCGCGGATTGGGGAGAGGAGAGGAGGAACGCCGGGGGATCGGGAAAGGGAGCCGGTCATGGGGAAGGGATCGAACGTGGAGAACGATTGAGCGCCGGCTCTGCTCGCGCACCCGGTGACCGGGTGGAGCAGGAACGAGAGGGACCAGGCGAGGCGAGAAAGCTGAGGCTCCCCCCGGAATGCTAGGGCTGTTGTGAGCTGAGGGGGCGCTCCTCAAGTGGCAGTCGAAGGGCATTTACAGAGGCGCCTCTGCGCCCCTGGCAAAAAAAAAGTGTTCTGCGACTGCTTACTTCGCGTAATGGACGGGCCACCCCTGCTCAGAGGTCTGTTGGAGGTATTTATTTATCCCAGGGGTCCTCAAACTAAGGCCCGGGGGCCAGATATGGTCCTCTAAGGTCATTTACCAGCCCTCGTTCAGGGTCAACCTAAGTCTGAAATGACTTGAAAGCACACAACAACAACAACAACAACAACAACAACAACATTCCTATCTCATCAGCCAAAAGCAGGCCCACACTTCCCACTGAAATACTAATAAGTTTATATTTGTTAAAATTGTTCTTCATTTTAATTATTATATTGTTGTTAGGGTTTTTTGCACTACAAATAAGGTATGTGCAGTGTGCATAGGAATTCATGGATTTTTTCAAATTATAATCCGACCCTCCAACAGTTTGAGGGACTGTGACCTGGCCCTCTGTTTAAAAAGTTTGAGGACCCCTGATTTATCGTGTCAGGAGCAAACAGTTGTATTGCATTTTTTAACAAACAGACAAAACACAAAGTTTGCAAGCTTGGTACTTGATTAAATGTCCTTTGACCAGTAGCTGGCCACTTGGAGTACCTCTGGTATTACAATAAGAGGTCCTCCATTGTGCATGTAGCAGGGCTCAGGTTGCATTGCAGCAGGTCAGTGGTTTGCTCTTCTCCACACTCGCATGTCGTGGATTCCACTTTGTAGCCCCATTTCTTAAGGTTGGCTCTGCATCTCGTGGTGCCAGAGCGCAGTCTGTTCAGCACCTTCCAAGTCGCCCAGTTTTCTGTGTGCCAAGGGGGAGTCTCTCATTTGGTATCAGCCATTGATTGAGGTTCTGGGTTTGAGCCTGCCACTTTTGGACTCTCGCTTGCTGAGGTGTTCCAGCGAGTGTCTCTGTAGATCTTAGAAAGCTATTTCTTATTTAAGTCGTTGACATGCTGGCTGATACCCAAACAGGGGATGAGCTGGAGATGTCACTGCCTTGGTCCTTTCACTATTGGTTGCTACTTCCCGGCGGATGTTAGGTGGTGCAAAACCGGCTAAGCAGTGTAATTTCTCCAGTGGTGTAGGGCGCAGACACCCGTGATAATGTGGCATGTCTCATTAAGAGCCACATCTACTGTTTTAGTGTGGTGAGATGTGTTCCACACTGGGCATGCATACTCAGCAGCAGAGTAGCATAGCACAAGGGCAGATGTCTTCACTGTGTCTGGTTGTGATCCCCAGGTTGTACCAGTCAGCTTTCGAGGTAAAACAAGTGGAATGTATGTATTTATGCATCTGTGGAATGTCCAGGGTGGGAGGAAGAACCCTTGTCTGAAGGTTGCAATTAGCAAGCTTGATTAGCATTTAGTCAAGGTAAAGGTTTCCCTCGGACATGAAGTCCAGTCGTATCCGACTCTGGGGGATGGTGCTCATCTCCATTTCTACACTGAAAAGGCGGTCTTATCCATAGTCACCTCCAAGGTCATGTGGCCAGCATGACTGCGTGGAGCGCCGTTACCTTCCTGCTGGAGTGGTACCTATTGATCTACTCACATTTGAATGTTTTTGAACTTCTAGGTCAGCAGAAGCTGGGGCTAACAGTGGGAGCTCACCCCGCTCCCCGGATTCAAACTGCTGACCTTTTAGTCAGCAAGTTCAGCAGCTCCATGGCTTAACCCACTGTGCCCTCAGGGTTCCATTATATTTATAGAAATATATTCTATATGCCCATAATAGATCTGGAAATGATGTTGATAAAACACATTGCAGATTAGATCTTGAAAGCAAGAAGGGTCTGTCTGTTTTCCCCATCCTAAAATCCTTGAGTTGTTCTTACCCATCTGTGTCATGTTTTTGTGCTATTTGCTAAAACTTCCCCCTTCCCTTCACTGCTCTGTTGGCAGGGTTCCTTTCTCAATGAGCTCATTGTCCACGGCTCATGCTGCACCTGCAAGTCAGGAGCTTCTCAAGAGGGAAGGCGGAGGAAGTGATGACAACACATCTCCAGCTTTGCTCTTTGCCTCTCTCCATTTTTAAAATAAAATACCAACAACTTCATCTTCCAGGCATGGATGCTTGCCAAGACCTGTTTTTGCAATACCCACTGGGTTCCTTTCTCAGCAAAATTACAAAAAGTCTCAGTAAAAGATAAAGGTTTTCCCCTGACATTAAGTCCAGTCATGTCCAACTCTGTGGGTTGGTGCTCATCTCCATTTCTAAGCCGAAAAGCCGGCATTGTCCGTAGACAGCTCCAAGGTCATGTGGCCATCATGACTGCATGGAGTGCCGTTACCTTTCCGTYGAAGCGGTACCTATTGATCTACTCACATTTGCATATTTTTGAACTGTTAGGTTGGCAAAAGCTGGGGCTGACGGTGGAAGCTCATGCCGCTCCCCAGATTYGAACCTGTGATCTTTTGGTCAACAAGCTCAGCAGYTCAGCCGTTTAAACCACTGCACCACCGGGGGCTCCCATAAAAAGTCTTATGGCACTGTAAAAGGCAACACATTTTCTTTAGCATAAACTTTTATGGAGCCCCCAGTGGTGCAGCAGGTTAAACCGTTGAGCTGCTGARCTTGCTGACTGAAAGGTCACAGGTTTGAATCCAGGGAGCAGGGTGAGCTCCTGCTGTTAGTCCCACCTTCTGCCAACCTAGCAGTTCAAAAACATGMAAATGTGAGTAGATCAATAGGTACCACTCTGGCGGGAAGGTAATGGCAGTCATGCCGGYCACACAACCTTGGAGGTGTCTATGGACAATGCCACTCTTTGGYTTAGAAATGGAGTTGGGCGCAACCCCYAGAGTCGAACACGACTGGACTTAATATCAGGGGAAAACCTTTACTGACCAAACTTTCATAAGCCACAGGCTGCAATCCACACAGGCTTAGGCCAAATATAACATAGCCCCTTGATGGATTGTCACCTTGTCGTGGTAAAGGGGCTTGCATGTTCCAATGAACCTGTGGGCATAACCATCAGAGTCATTCACAGGGCAAGTTGCAGACCGAACACAATCCCAAGACCTCAACGGCAGAACAAGCGGAAGATAATATGGTGCATGTTATAATGGCTGTGAAGGTGGAAGAAGGATGCAACAGATTGATATGCCACCATCGTCATGTTAACCACACCACTGGTTGGGACCCTCACTCTGTGAAGACTGTGTTGATCAGCTATGCAACATTCACCACACATTAAGAAACCTCACGTACAGGCGTCTTCCAAGAATTTGTAAGACCATCATACTCAGACAACGAGGGATAATCTAAATAAGTAAATATAACATGTTAGTTTTTAAGGTGCTACTATAAACCTTATTTCTTTTTAAATAATGCAGTAACTTTCCCCATATTCTAGCAAGGAGGAATGGGAGAAACCAGGAAGAATAAGAAGGTAAACAACTGAGCTGGATTTACATCACCTAAGAAAATTCATCTTAATTTCCTGGAGTATGAAATCATTCTGAAATTCAACCTGGTTAGCTATTGTCATGTGTTGTCAAGTCAACTTTAAATAATAATAATAATAATAATAATAATAATAATAATATGAACCAGCAACCTTCATCAAGACTTATTATTAAAAGTCCTGCTCAGATTTTACTAACGGATTTGTTGCTGCCTTGGCGAAAGACCCATCTACACGGCCCACTTAATGCAAGGCTGGTCCAGAGTAGCAGCATTTCCATCTTGCCTTGACAGTGGGAGTCTTGATGAGCTACCTTTAACTCTATCACTTTTTTGTCACTGAAGTGACAACCACCGAGCTCTTGGCCATTGCAGGATGCCAATGTTAACAGCTCTGCCTACGTGACTTGGAGAGGGTGACTTTGATTACATTAACAGGATGGTGGCACTGACCCATGTGAATAAGGAGCCAATTCCAAATAAGAACCGGTCCTGCTGTTTACAGCACCACAAAGCATGCAGCTGCCCTGATTTTTCCTAATGTGGGTCAGAAACCATGTTCATCAGTTTTACCCCATGCTGAGAGTAGGAAAAATCCTGCTCTGGTGTGGACATCCAGGAGGAACCTCTCAATCACTTTGGAGTTTTGGCCCAAATGGTCTAACCATCTATAAAATGCTTTTCCTACTGTGTTGCATTTCACAGTGAGTCTTATTTTCTCATGATGCTCTTAAACATTGGACAGATAAACAAGACTTAGACACACATGGCCAAGCAATATCAAAATCAGTCAAGATGACAAAGTTATAAATGAGGAAAGA